TGTTTCTAATAGTTTTTCTATGACACTGGATTTTTTAATACGATATGCTTTTAAGTAGAACAATGTTTCACAGTTAAAAAGCTAAAACTCCTACCACTTGTATGTCTTAGTAAAAATGTAATTTTGCATTGTATAAAATGTTATATATTTCTGATTTTCTTTCAAAACTAGTATGCACTCTTGGTTCTGATGTGAATACCAGCCATTTAATCACTGGGTTATTTCTATTTATGTAGTAATGATAGCAAGCTTTTCAATACTCAGGAAACTTATTTATCGGTGAAATAGTCCTTCACAAATGTTAAGTCAGTTGAGAGTTTATAGGTTGTTTTTGTTCTTGTTTATTATTTCTGATCTCTGCTTTCATGGATGTGTTATTGTGTTCTAATGAGGTGAGGCTAATCTGACAGAATATGAATAAAATAGAAATTAGATAAAAGATATTGTAAAAGTAAAAATACCTTGCAGAAAAGGAAACATCAATATTTAATATGTTCATTTGTATTCTGTGAACTATGTCTAAAGAAAATACTCTCTAATATTCTTTGTAGATTTTGTACTGGGTGAAACACTGCCAAAATGGAAGCACATTGTTGACACACAAAAATGTTACATTAAAACAACAACAACCAACACTGTGTCATTATACTCTCCTCTAATTGTTATCAAAGCACTATACTGACTTTAATGCTTTACTCTTTTAGCTATATTTATCAAGAAATTAGGCCCAAATTTTGAGAACATTGCAACAATGGAAATTCTATTCTGTTTTTCCTTTCCTTTTTTTTTTTTTTTTTACTTAACCTAATCAAATATGGTTCTTAGAAGGTGTTTGTTTCAACAAAGTATTATATGATAATTTTTGCCTAATTTTGTCCCCTTTCTTAAAATATTGATCATGAGGAAAAAAAAAGTTTATCATCCTGCCTCTTAGTCTTCTTGTAATATTCTTTTTAATAGAAAGATGATATTACTGAGGGTATTGAGTTTACTCCTATTGTTTTTAAATCTTACAAGAAATTACAATTTCTAACTTAGTAAATATGAACCAAGATACATTCTTTATTTGTAGTTATTTATTTATTTTAATATACTTTAAGTTTTTGAGCAGTTTTAGGTTTACAGCAAAAGTGAGTAGAAAGTACAGAGATTTTAGTTGCACATATTTATTATAATAGACTTTAATATTTTGAGTCAGCAAAGCAGAGTTGAAAGTAAAGAGATTTCCTGTATACCTCCTGCTCCCACACATGCGTAGCCTCCCCATCATCAATATTGTCCAACAAAGTTGTAATGATCGATGAACTTACAGTGACATCATGATCACCTGTAGCCCATAGTTAACATTAGAGTTTATACTTGGTGGTATGCATTCTGTGGGTTTGGATAGATTTGTAATGGCATGTATCCACCATTATAGTATTATACAGGGAAGTTTCACTGCCCCAAACATCCTCTGCACTCTGCCTGTTCGTCTTCCTTCCCTTGTAAAGTTTGGCAGCTACTGATTTTTATTTTTTATTTTTTTAATTTTTAATTTAATTTTATTTATTTATATATTTTCAAGACAGAGTCTTGCTCTTTCGCCCAGGCTGGAGTGCAGTGGTGCGATCTCGACCCACTGCAACTTCCGCCTTCTGGGATCAAGCAATTCTCCTGCCTCAGCTTTCTGAGTAGCTGGGATTACAGGCGTGCACCACCACGCTCAGCGAATTTTCTTGTATTTTTCGTAGAGACAGGGTTTCACCATGTTGGTCAGGCTAGTCTTGAACTCCTGACCTCGTGATCTGCCAACCTCGGCCTCCCAAAGTGCTGGGATTACAGGCATCGTGAGCCACCATGCCCGGCCGCTACTGATCTTTTTACTGTCTCCATACTTTTTATTTTTTCCCTAAAGTCAAATAATTAGTATTAAAGAGTGAATAGCCTTTTCAGACTGGCATCTTTTACTTAGTAAATGCTTTTATGTTTCCTCCTTTTTTTTTTTTTTTTAATGGCTTAATAGCTCATTTCTTTTTAGCATGGAGTAGCATTACTTTGGCTGGATGTGCCACCATTTACTCATCTATTCACCTGCTGACTGACATCTTAGTTGCTTCTACATTTTGGCAATTATGAACAAAGCTAATATAAACACCTTTGAGTATATTTTTGTGTGGACATAAGTTTTGCACTTTTTAGGATTAATACCAAGGAAGCATGACTTCTGGACTGTGTGGAAAGAGTGTGTTTAGTTTTATAAGAACCCACCAAACAACTGTTTTTCAAAGTGTTGTATCATTTTGTATTCACATCAGCAATTAATGAGAGTTTCTGTTGTTCCACATAGGAAACAGCATTTAGTGTTGTTAGTGTTCTGCATTGTGGTCATTCTAATAGGTGTGTGGCATCTCCTAGGTGGTGGTATTGCATTGTTGTCTTAGTGTATTTATTTATAGATATATAATTTATAGACTTATTTATGAGCATTTCTACAAAACGATGAAAACATTAACCAAGATTGTATATTCTCTATCCTAGTTTTTGTTTGAACTGAGCAATTTTTGTTGTCTATTATGTTGTAAAATTATTACAAATAACCATATTTGTTCCAAATCAAATTAACTGTTAGATTATTTGATACCTGGGTTAGTAAAATAGTCCTTGAGTTATTCAGCCATAAACCAGTATGGCCACTCTTCAGAATAATGGTGTTAGAAATATTTATAAAATTGCTAACCTAAGGGTGGTCATATTCAGTAATGACAATTTTTTTAATGAAATTAAACATCTATATTAATTTTGTATTGGTTTTGTATTAGTCTGTTTTCACACCGCCAAGAAGATGTTGCCTGAGACTGGGTAATTTATAAACAAAAGAGGTTTAATGGACTCACAGTTCCACATGGCTGGAGGGGCCTCAGGAAGCTTACAGTCATGGTGAAAGGCAAAGGGGAAGCAAGGCAAATATTCTCGTGAGAACTCATTATCAGCAGAGAACAGCACGGGGGGGAACCACCCCCACGATCCAATCACCTCCTGCCAGGTCTCTCCCTCAACACGTGAGGATGACAATTGGAGATGAGATTTGAGTGCAGACATATCCAAACCATATCGGGTATCAAATATTCAAACATTTCTTGCCCTCATGTAGCATTTCCTAACGTAAGCTTTTGAAACAGGCTATTTTTGGCTCAATTAATTTATCCTAGAGAATATTCATTTTGAACACTAAAAACAAGTGTTTTCTCCTTACTCTTTATGCTTTATGATGATCAACCTAATATTTAAAGTACTAATCAGCATGCAAAAGCTTAATTTTTTTCCTCCTATTCTACCTTCTCATCCTCCTCCTCTTGTCATTGTCTTCTCTTTCTTTAGCAGTAATAATTGCAGTGAGGAAACAGCCATGACAGCCTATTTTAATAGAAATGACATATTTGATTAAAACTTCATTACTTTTAAAAGAATATTATTTATACTACTTTTCAGCTCCATTTTACATTTTTATCACCTGCCTTCATCGCTGTCTTAACTATCAATGTACTGACACCGTTTACCCATACCAATTCAATAGTCAAGTATAATAACCAGGATGACTATTTATGTTTTTCCTTTTATCATACTAGTTATATTAGCATTAAGAAATATGAAGCCTCTAAACTTAGTTCTTATTAAGTTTCAGTATATGTCCTCACACTTTTTGGTTTGAAATTACATTATTAGTAGTTGTTGAGACCAACCCCAAACACTTTTTAAAGTTTGTTTTAGATAAACAGTGTTTACTATATTAGAAATTGAAACAAACATTTCCAAAACATTTTTATTGTATATTAACATAAATATTATGGAAAATAATGTTAATTTTGAAACAAAAAAAAAAAGTGAGAAAAGTGGCATTGTTTTACATCTTTGCAAATCTCTTTAATGTCTGCCTCAATAGGAGATTCATGGGGTTTTATCCCCTTCTGCATTGGTCTGTTGTGATGTCATATGTCATGTAGCCTTTAGAAACTTCCTCTGCATTCTTGTATGAGAAAAAGAGTGTTAAGTGCAAATAATGCTTTATTATTATAAGAAATATGGTTCTGACCTTGTGAATCCACTGAAGAAGTGTTGAATATCTAGGAGTCCTTTGACCATACTTTGAGAACCACTGCTACTGAAAATTATTATCCTATTCATTCAATACATCTTGCTTTTCTCTCAACTTCACCTCTCTTATGATCAGTCGCTTGTGAATTTTTACATTCCAGCGCTACACTAATGGATTTCTGATGATATCTAGGTCAAAGTATGGTGTTAAGAGTTATGTCTAACTTTGCATGTGTAATACCTCTGCTAAGGAAGCTTTCACTCATCTTCCAAACATTACTCAGATGTCACTTTCCCTGTGATACATTAATCACTTGCTTTTCTTTTTCATTGTGTGTACTTCACAAATACTTTTATTATCTCACAACCAGTCAGATATTTATTACAGTTTGCAAACTAAGGTGTGTTTAAAGTATTACTTTATTTCCTTTAAATAAAACTGATTTTACTATTATACTCTGACTTTCTAAATTTACAAGAAATTATATCTCCAATGTGGTAGGTTCTCCTTCCCCAACCTAATGTCCGTTCAGAATCTGAGATGCCTACTTTGTGCCCAGGGAATGGACAGGAGTTTCTGATGACTGGTGATGGTCCACACTGACATTCTCACTGGCTGTGCTTACAGTGGTTTATTCGACTAACACTTTTTAGCTGTTTTCATGCCATGCTTGAGGTGTCAAATCTCTGCTGTGCCTGGTGACCAGCCCACGACCATTTTTTGAGGCCTTGAAGCAATGTCCCATTACTGTTTGGATCTGTACCTCTGGGCCCCACCAAACAATAGTTTAAGGGGAACCTCAACTTAATTCCTGCTTTTCCAAGACTCTTTTTATCTTGTCCCAAAAACTATTATGCTCAGTAGGTATAGAACTTACAAAACAAATTTTCAGAATTCGGACAAGCTAACTTTAATTTATTTTTAGTTGTATACCGATTCCAAATACGTGAGGCTTGAGGCTTACTACTTTCTTGAAGAAGAGGCAGAAAAAAGGTAACAATATGGGAGAGGGAAAAGAGCAATAATTAATATACTAAAGTTTACTCAACCATACATATATTAGACATGTTATTTTATTTGATGAGTATTAGCTTTGTATCCCTTTATTAGTTTTGTATCCCTTTCCCCAAAATACATATATACACGCATGGATGGACACGCATGCCAATACTAGATGTGAAGTCCTGATGTAGGTAGATTCTAGCGCCAAGCATAGTGACCAGCATGTATATAATAGGACCTATATAAATGCTTGTTAAAGTCATCTAGAAAACTATAACTAAAGTATTTTTACCTGCAAATACATTGTTTATATCTTAATTTTCTTTCCGTTGTCTTTTTTTAATAGATGGGTTCTCATGATGTTGTCCAGGCTGTAGTGCAATGGCTCTTAAGAGGTGCAATCACAGTGCACTATAGCCTCAAACTCCTGGACCCAAGCATTCCTCCTGCTTTGGATTCCTGAGTATTAGGGATTACAGCCAAGTGCTACTACATCAGCTTTGTCTCTTAATTCTCTTTGAAAAAGCATGTGAGCTATAACTTGTTCTTTATTATTTGAATTGAGAGATTGAAGGACTAAAAGGCCATATATAAAATATTGATACCCTTCTTTAAGGACTTTAATATAGTAAAACAAGTTTTTAATATACTAAGAACATTTACTGAATATCAATGTATTTTAGACTCTTTGTTGTGGTACAGGAAGTATGCAGTAGGTAGGCAATGTGTTTTCTGATCCAGAATTGTTTATAAAGTAAAATTTCCTTGCCAGCGCTGGAAAATTATAACGAACTAGCATACTGAAGTATGTACACGAATCTATTTGTCTACTGGAGTTTCTTCTGAGCATTAAATGAAATGATATTTTAAAATAGCTAGTACAGTATATCATGGCTGTTAGAATCTGCTCAATGAATGACAGCTATTTACTTTACTTTTTTATTTCCCTCTAACTATAGACCTTGTGGGTGTATAGCACAGCTAGCTATTATACAGCTATGAGGAATACCAGTACCTGCTGCTGCTAATAATTCCTTGATGGTTTATCTCATAAAACTAGTCCCAGATTTCAAAAATGTTTTTGAATTTAGGAAATGAGTTAATATTCCTAATTGTAAGTATCATCTTTGATTTTTACAATACAGATTTTTTGTTGGCATCACTATTGAAAATAATTCCTTTTGTCTGACAGTAAATCAAAACAAACGCTCATTGTGTTTATTTGCATGGTTACATTAAATATGTTATAAAGGCCTCTTTTCTCTGAACTTGTTCTAAATATGCTTTTCATTCTTAAATAGTTACAGGAATAGATGAGTTTTTCCTCTATTTGTAGTTCTTTCAATCCCAAGTTTTGTTCAGTGATCACTATCATTGAAATTCTGAGATGTATTTCACTTTTACACTCACTGTTAACTTGCCTAACTTAGTTCATCTAAGCTTGTGTGCAGGTCAACTTTGACAAGTAATTTAGAAGGTTGTCATATTTGACATGAAACTTCTGCGATCATGGATTTTCTACTCTATTAATATTGTCAACTGAGCTGTTTTCTGACATTCTAAAATAAATGTGAGCTGTATTTACTATTATTCAAAAGACAGATCACTCAACTCCTCTGAATGAAAAATATTTTACTGGCTAGTGAGGAAAGTTATATTCAAAAAATTTAGTGGGATGATCATTCAAATTCCCATCAGTATAATTTAATTGGAATTTTCTTTGGATATACTTAAATTTAACTATGGTGTTGTTCTTTCTTAGGCTAAATAAATACAGCAATGTTTTTTTTTTAAACTCCAAGTCAAGAGGTTTTAGGCTGCCTTTGTTCATTTCCATTTTAAATCAGCTAATAATTTATCTAAAGGTTGCAATGTAAATGTACCATGGGAGGCAAGCCTCTCCCTCCCCACTACCACTTGATGGAGAGGGAAAACTCTTGAATGAGTCTTTACATTAAGCAGAGGCTTTCTTCCAGAATGAAAGATTTCTGTCAATGCAGTTCCAGGAAGTTTAACTGTTTGCAAGAAGGTGAGTTCAGCAATCTCTTAATCAGCGTAGAATAGTGGTTAAAAGCAGGTTCTTTATAGCCAGATGTCTAGGGTGTACAGTCCTGTCTCTACCACACTGGACCTTGATTAAGTTACTTTAACTCCCTATGCTTCCATTTCCTCAATTGTGAAAGGGGGATAAAATTAAAGCAACCTCATCAAGTTGTTATGAGGTGCAAATGAATGAGTTTTCATTTCTTATTTTTAAAACATTAGGAATTATGGCTGGCACACACAGTAAACCCTACATGCGTTAATAATTATATAAATACATGAAGTTATTTATTACTAAGATATGCCAAGTACTGGGTTTAGAGAAACAAGGGAGACAGACATGACTCTTGTTCTTAGGAAGATTATAGTCTGGGCAGCAGGGAGTCAGTACACGTGAATAGACTAAGATGCGGAGGGAGGGTGCTGCAAATTTCTACAAGTTAGTGTAATGTAATGACCTATTTTCCTTCGTCATTTGTGTTAATTCCATATGCTTTACTCACATGGCTTCTGCTGGGGCTTCATTTCTCCCACTATGAACAGTGAACTTATTCCATTGCATACCCTCACAAGACAATTGCCATCAATCTGTTCAAGAATGATGGTGTCCTCTGCTCATCAATATATTTATTAATGCCTCAGGAAAGGAAAACTCTTAGTCATTATTTCTTTTAGTTTTTTATGATCCTATTAATTATTATGCTCTTTATTCATTTGTTGCATCCATATTCTTCTAGTATGTAAACTTTCCAGCATGTTAGGGTAAGTCTTTCTCTGTCTTATTCTCTTTTAATTCTGCAGTACCTAGGATAGGTTCTAGTATATGGAGCACTTAGTAAGGAATGAATGCATTCATGCATGAATGAATATGTCTATGTGCTCTTGTGTAAATGTTAATGTTGGATAGATTTCCAGAAAATTGAATTGCTTTTTTTTTTTCAGTTCTCTTAATGAATTTATTTTAAAGCTATTATACCACAGTATGTTTTATACACTGACATACAACTCCCTAATAAGATAAAGACAAAAAAGTTTATCTTATTAGAAACAAGATACACCACCACTTATTGTCTTCAAACATTATTGCACTTTAACTTTCTTAATTTGACAAAGCATTCAAGAAACAATCTACAGACTAGTTTTAACAGACAAATAACACCTGTAAGCAGACATGACTGTCCTAAATTGTTTATTAGGTATGAATTTTACAAACTTTACTTATATTAGAGGTAACGGTGGAGCTGGAGAGTATTGCGCCTTCTCCAAGCTGCCCGGCGAGAACCACCAATAGTGTGGTGGAACTTATGGCCCTTTCCAAGGCCACGGCTCTTTCGGCCTGCAGATGTCAGCCCACGCATCTCCTTGTGCTTGTGGACTGGCTTGGTGATCTATTGGGTGTCAGGATTTCTTCTGATAGCTTTATGGAATGGATCAATGAGAATAACCTCAAAAAATTTGTATGTGGAATCTTCTCCAACCCAGTAAGAATACAGAACTCTCAGAGCCCCACAGTGGCGTCCAGCTCGCTCCTCTGCAACGGACTGAAGGCTTCGAGCAAACTTTAGCTGGTTAACACCATGATGGACAGGCTTGCCATAAGTTGCACCCTTAGGAACTGGGCGTTTTTGGCCACCACGGCGAACATGAATCCTATATATAACGGAACCTTGCTTGGCCTTGTAGCCCAGTCGGCGCGCTTTATCAGGCCAGGTGGGGCGGGGAGCCCTGTGGAGAGCAGAGAGCTGGCGGTACTGCCAGCAGCGGACCCTCAGAAGGAAGCGCATGACATCAGACTGCTTCTTTCTCCATAGCTCCTGCATGTATTTGTATGCACCCATCTTGGCTTACCCGATGGCTGCCGCCAGACGGAAAGGAAAGAGCTGTACTCCCACAATCCCTTTTCTTGAATTGCTTTATCTAAAGTTAGGGGCATTCTAATTTTATGATGTTCCACCTAATTATCCTTCAAATGGATTTTACTAATGGACATTTTCATGAAATATGTATGAGAATGCACGTTTCTATAAATTTTTACCAATACATGACCTTAGTTGTATTATCAGTCAATATGTGAAAAATATTTATATTGGTTTAATTTGTATATCCTTGATTGGTAAATTTGAGCATTTGAAAAATATATATATATATTTTAAATGTATATATATGTATACACACACACACATATACTGGCCCTTTATATTTCTTTCTCTGTAAATAGTCTGTTTACACACTTTGCTAATTTGCTTATTAAAAAAAAATACTGATTTGTAAGAAGTCATTTCGTTCTATGGATGCCATTCATGATATATTGGTTTGTACTCTACAACCTTTATAAAACCTTGTGTAGTTATAGTATTTTATCTGTGGTTTTAATTGTATTTATGATATAGCATATTTTCTTATTTTTGAATAACAGCCTAGTATTTTTCTTCCCATTTTTAAGCATTTGTGTATTGTTCTTGCCTACTGCCATAGCTTATACTCCTATACTCTTCAGAATAGGAAAGGCAATCACCAGCTACCTTGTCTTGTCCTTGATCTTAGAGAAAATGTCTTAATTATGTGTTTTTTTTTTCTGTCGGCTGTTTGTTTTTGCATGCTTTTTATCAAGTTTAGGAAGTCAATTTATTTTTCTACTTTTCCAATAGTTTTTTTAGAGTTATGGATGGATGTTTAATTTTATCACCATTTCTATTGAGAGTAACATATGATTTCCTTTCATTAATATGTTGATGTGATGCATTATATTAATTGATTTGTAAAAATAAATAACCATACTTGCACTCCTGGAATGAACCCAACTTTGGCATAGCTATTTTATTGTTATTGTTTTTTAACTTTGATTGACCTCAGTTTGTCTATATTTTGTACCTAAATTTTGTACCTAAATTTAACCATGAGTTTTGATTTTGTCTTTCTTGTGATGTTTTCATTAATTTTTATTTCAAGTTTATGCTAATAAGTGACATTTACTTTCCTTTTATTTTTCTTTTAATTTCGTATTTTCTGTATATTACTATAATCATTGATTAATGATTATATGTATATGTTTATATATGTATGTGATTTCAACGACTGTGAAAGCATCCCCAAAATCATAGGGAAAATTAATTCTTTTAGTACTATTTGTAAAATAGAACCTAAATTTTCCACTGATGTAAAATGCCATTTTCTTTTCATATATTAAGGACATATGCTTCTGTGTTTAATTTCCATTTCATTGATCACCTTTCATCAATAATATATTCCTTAATAATGACTTTTTAAAATAAAAACTCTTTATGGCTAAAAGACCATAACACCATCTCTAACATTTTGTTTGTTCAAGATTATCTTATGGATTAAATACTTAAATGTAAAACCCAAAACTATAAAAACCCTGGAAGACAACCTAGGCAATACCATTTAGTACATAGACAGGAGCAAAGATTTCATGACAAAGTTGCCAAAAGAAATTGCAACAAAAGCAAAAATTGACAAATGAGATCTAATTAAACTAAAGCACTTCTTCATAGCAAAATAAATTAGCGACAGAGTAAACAGACAACCTACAAAATGGGATAAAAATTTTGCAAACTATGCATCTGACAAAAGTCTAATAACCAGAATCTCTCTAAGGAACTTAAATTTACAAGGAAAAAACCAACAACCCCATTAAAAAGTGAGCAAAGGACATGAACAGACACTTTTCAAAAGAAGACATATATGCAACCAACAATCATGAGAGAAAGCTTAACATCACTGATCATTAGAGGAATGCAAATCAAAACCACAATGAGATACCATTTCACACCAGTCAGAAGGGCTATTATTAAGAAGTCAAAAAATAACAGATGCTAGCAAGGTGGTAGAGAAAAAGGAATGCTCATACACTGTTGGTAGGCGTGTAAATTCTTTCAACCACTGTGGAAGACAGTGCAGTGATTCCTCAAAGGCCTAAAGATAGAAATGCTTTTGACCCAGCAAACCCAGAACCCAATACTGCATATATACACAAAGGAATGTGAATCATTCTATTACAAAGACACATGCATTCATGTGTGCATTGCAGTACTGTTCGCAATACCAGAGACATGGAATCAACCTAAATTCCCATCAATGATAGACCAGATAAAGAAAATGTGGTACATATACACCATGGAATACTATGCAGCCATAAAAAGAATGAGATCATGTCCTTTGCAGGGACATGGATGGAACTGGAGACCATTATTCTTAACAAACTAATGCAGGATCAGAAAACCAAGTACTGCTTGCACTTGTAAGTGAGAGGTAAATGATGAGACCACATGGGCATATAGAGGAGAATGACACACATTGGGGCCTTTTAGAGGGTGGAGGTTGAGAAAAGGGAGAGGATCAGGAAAAATAACTAATGGGCACTGAGCTTAATACCTGGGTGATGAAATAATGTGTACAACAAAGCCACATGACAGAAGTTTACCTGTGTAACAAATCTGCACATGTACTCCTGAACTAAAAATTTAAAATATAAAAGACTATCAGGACTGGACGTGGTGGCTCAGACTATAATCCCAGCACTTTGGGAAACCAAGGCATGAAGATCGCTTGAACCCAAGAGTTCAAAAAAGAGTATCTTGGCTATGTTTTTGGCATTTTACTCTTTCGTATGAAATCTATAATACATTTTCCAGTTACAGAGGGGAAAATACTAGAATTTAAATTAGAATTTAATGTATTCTGTAATTTTCTTAGGAGAGAATTGACATCTTCATAATAGTGTATTTCTCTTTGTTTTCCATGAATATAAATAAGACTTTATTTAGGGATTCTTAACTCTCTATCAATATTATCTTAACATCTCCATTATGGTTGTTTCTTCTTTTGTTAAGTTTATTTTTAGCATTTCACACTGTGTGTTACTATTTATAATGCTATTTAAAATAAATTACCTAGCTACTTCATGCTTGAAATACATTTAATTTTTGATAAGCCCTGGTAATGAATGCTTACCACTTCTAGTAACTTATCTGATTATTTTTTAGTTTTCAATTCTGATAATTATATGAATTTTGAATAATCGAAATTTTGTTTCTTTTTTTTTTCCCAGTGATTTTCTTTCCCCCTTTTTTTGTGGCAGACTTCTGTAAGATTTTGAATAAAAGTGATGATAACAAGCATACTTATATTTTATATTACTTCAGAGTTAATGATAGTAACTGTTTCTCATTAAAAATAAGGTTTGCTTTATTGGATTATTTGAACATCACTTTTGTCAGCCTGTGTAAGTGTCTTTCTATTCCTAGTGTGCTAAATTTTCACTTGTTAGCAATATTAATATGTGTAAATTTCAGCAAGTAACTTTTCTACATTTATTAGGATGATTTTATATTTTTTCTTTTAATATATTACTGTACATTCATATTTGTAAAATAAACTCAACTTGGTCATGTTGCATTTTTTTATGTTACTCTTGGTTTGATTTTCTAATACTATTTTTAGGATTATTATAGGTATGTTCATAAATGAGAAACGTCTATTTTTTGTATCAATTTCAAAGTAAGGTATATGCACTCTATCTAGTCTCTAAATTGCTCTCTATATTGAAATATCTTATCCTTGAAAGTCTATTTGAATTGGCCTATTAAAAATATCTAGGCCTGGTGATTTTTGGATTTCTTTTTTTAAATTACTATGCTAGTTTCTTTAATAGTTATTATAGTACAAGTGAGGTTTTTTTTTTTCTTAATCAGTTTGATATTTAAAAAAATATAAAATCAATTTCATTTAACTTTTCAAAACTGTTGACATAAAATTTGTTTATTATACAATATGATTATATTTAAATCTCTAATTATATATATTTATTATATTTATAATAATATAATATATATTTATTATACAATATGATTATATTTAAATCTCTAATATATCTTATTTATGTGTCTATCCTTCCACCTGACATAGGTTGCCCTACCTTCTTTTTTTATTAGCCCAACCAAAATTTATATCTATTGGTCATTTTTTGGTGTATGTCTGTTATTGTTTAAAGAGCCTATGTTATATTCTTTCTTTCTTTTAGCAGGGAGCTGTACGAAAAGCAAAATCTTAAGAAAACATGACCAATGTACAGAAAAAATAAAAGTGAATAGAGAAAAATTAGTAAGTACATATAATTGGAAACACCTATTTCTAGATTTTAAAAACTATGAAATCAAATTGAAAAGAGATTTACATAAAAGATGGAGGTCTTAAAATTTCTCAGATAATTTGAATAAGCCTTCAAATAATCACCAGATTCAGTGTATGATATTCCTACTTAAGCTTATTTTCTAGTAACTATCCCTGGTAATTTGAAATAATGATCTACTGAAAGGGGCAAAAGAGAAAAAAAATAGACTCTAGAGTTTTGTCTAGGAAGGATCTTTATGATTGGCTTATTAGCACGTGAAATTGACTTGAAAGAAATACATCCAAAGTCTATTAAGTTTTTGAGGAAATTGTTTTTTCAATTTCCTCAAAATTCTCCTGAGCTAGGAGAACTCCTCCTAGCTCAAAAAACTCCTGAGCTAGGAGGAAAAATGCACTCAAAACAATCCTTTGGCTCCTACATTTTCATAAGAAAGAAACAACCAGTGTAAGATGGATAGTTCCCAAGGGTAAAGAACAAGCAAGTGTTTCCCAGGGAGCAGAACCTGAGGTCATGGAGAACAATAAACAAGGAAGTAACTTTTGGTCAGGAATGTGGGTCTCATTAAAGAACTTTCCCCACAGTAGAGCAAATCAGGTGTGTCTCAGTAGGGGTGCTTTGTAAGACCTATCCAGCAGGATTGTATGGTTATTATTAAGAGGGGTGTGTTCTGTGTTCTTTTTTCCCTTTCTTAAATGTTACTTTTCTGCTATAGTTATCTTATCCCTGCTCTACCACTGACAACATACATAAGACTGATTGTTTTTATATCATGCTTTGCAGGACCACAACCACCACTCCCAGTCATGATGGAGAGGAGTGTTCAATACCCACAGATCCTGAATTTTGAGCTGATTATACTAAATAGATGGGACTTAGTTTTGTCTGCCATGGGGTAAGCATACACTACCTGAGGGAACAGGTACACATGAATATTTATTATTACAATAACTGTTTGTGCAGAACTTGCTTACTGCTCACCAATATCCTTATTCTCCTCTAATTGATGTTAGAAATAGACTTTTCCTAGCTTCTCTTGCTTTTTTGTGTAGACATTTCCTGAGGTCTAACCAATGTAGTATAAACATAGTTGATATATATCATTTCTAGACTTGACTCATTAAAGATTCCCATGTATGGTTATTTAAGCTTTATTTGCTTCCTGTCTAGTGGAATGGAGAAGACTGCCAGGGAAGTCTTGGATGGCATAGGGTGAAGATGGCAGAGTATCTGTTGGCCATTTGGAGGAGGATTGTTCTCTGATCTGTTTACTCTTGTAAACAAGCAATACATTTCCAATATGTGCTATTTCATATTTTGAGTTCATTTGTTGCAGTAGCTAGTTGATCTTGCCAAATAAAAGCAAGATTATTGAAGAAGTAACAGTAAATACATGTATTAATGAATTTATCCTGAATGAAACATCATTTACTTCTAGCTTCACATTATTGTTTGTAATCAACTTTATAACAATACTGTTATAACTATGTGGTCCTAATTCAATGTTCAAATCGCCCAAATTATTTTTTATGGTGAAAACAGTAAGTTTTAACTGAAATAATTAAATTCAATATAAAAACTGCTAAATAAAGGAATATTTCTGGCTTATGTCATATCTATTAAAGTGCATTTTATATCATCAGGAATCTGTCCTACTCATTTCCTTTGGCTTAGATTTTCTCTATGTTGATTTCTTTTCTGCACAGGTTCTCTATGGTGAAGATGGCAACTTGCTGACTCAGTCTCAGAATGCCTTAAATCCACATATTGTGGCAAGTGGAGGTCTGCTTCTCCAATATCTCTTCCAGATAAGTCTGGAGAGGACTGTAATTGATCCACCCTGAGTCATATGTCCATGTCCAAAGCAATGAGTTTGGAAAATTTCATGACACACTCCTAATTTTGTGGTAGGAGACACATCAGAACCACACAATGAGTCAGTCTTATTTATAAAATAGAGTTTCATCTTCCAGATGAAAGGAAAAAAAGTTGTAAAACAAAAACAAATATTCACTAATGGGGATCTATCTGAATTTCACCTGTAACTACAAATGCCCAAAAGTAGATTTACAGTTCTCCTAGAGTGTCATGAATTTCAAAACATATACATGGAATCATAAGGTAATATCTTAATCACTTCTCTCAACTTTCTGTTGAATCTCTCCTTAACGTAAAATGAGAATATTTTAGCAGTAGGAGAAGGATTATTTTTTCATTTATAGACCTTTATCAGGCACTAATGTAGGATTGAGTTTGACCTGATACAGTGTTCTATCTCTGAGTGCTGTCATTCAGGAGTTTGATTGTAAATACAATTTATTTTATATGACACCAATATAGAGAACAAATTTACTTTTTTTTCTTATATAATCATGTAATCAATTGTTCCAACATAATCCATTGAATAGATATTGTGACATTTCCCTAATTATTTGTAAAGGTACTGCTATTAGATATGAATATTTATATATGAGGATATGAATCATGGCTCTCTGATTTGTTCATTATTTGCTTGTCTATTCCTGTGCCAGTACCATACAATTGGTACTAATATAGTGTTCTGATATTGACAGGATGAGATGTTCCTTCTAATGCTGTAGCTTTAAATTTGTCTTGGTTGTACATTTCTTTATATTCTTCCATATACATTTGTGGTTCAGTTGTCAGCTTTGAAAATCACTTTTGGGATTTGAATTGGAATTGCATGAAATTTGTAGACTAACTTGTAGAAAATTGACATTTTTATGATATGAATTTCCACATTCTTATAACCATGGGTGTGTTATTTATTTTCACTTTTGAATATTATTGTGGGTTTTTAATAGTAAAAATAACAATCAATAAGTTACATGGTGGTTACTATGTGACAGATGTTGTCAAAGTTCCATCCATATATCAACTTATTATATATTCTTATGGGAAGATACCATTATTATCTCCATTATGCAAATAAGAAAACCGAGGTACAAAGAGCTTAAGTAACGTGTGCTAAGTCATATAAGAGTAAAGCTTTATTTGAATGCATGCAATTTGTCTCCAGAGCTTGAAATCCATTTTATTTTATCTTAATTTTACTTTAAAAATAAAAAAAAAAACTTTGGAGACAGAATTTTGCTCTGTTGCCCAGGCTGGAGTGCAGTGGCATAATCTTGGCTCATTGCAACCTCTGCCTCCCAGATTCAAGCGATTCTCCTACCTCAGCTTCCGGAGTAGCTGGGACTACACTTGTGCGCCACCACGCCTGGCTAATTTTTTGTATTTTTAGTAGAGACGGGGTTTCACCGTGTTAGCCAGGATGGTCTCGATTTCCTGACCTTGTGATCCGCCTGCCTCGGCCTCCCAAAGTGCTGGGATTATAGGAGTGAGCCACTGCGTCCAACGTGAAATCTTTACTAGTATCTGATATTGCCTCCCTAAGAACTTTGCCCACTCCTTAGTGATACTACCATTGGCTTAGTATTTTGGATTTTCTAGTAGACAATAATATAATATTTGCATAAAGCAAATACACTTATTATTACATTAAAATTTTTAAACTGCTCATTTGTACTTGCTTTCATAAAGCCTTAACTAATTCCAACAAAGTATTGATTACTGTGGATGATAGTGGTAAATCTTGTTTTGTACCTAATATTCTTTTTTTTTTTTTTTTTGAGATGGAGTCTCGCTGTGTCTCCCAGGCTGGAGTGCAGTGGCGTGATCTCGGCTCACTGCAAGCTCCGCCTCCCGGGTTCACGCCATTCCGCCATTCTCCCGCCTCAGCCTGCCAAGTAGCTGGGACTACAGGCACCCGCCACCTCGCCCAGCTAATTTTTTGTATTTTTAGTAGAGACGGCGTTTCACCGTGGTCTCGATCTCCTGACCTTGTGATCTGCCCGCCTCGGCCTCCCAAAGTCCTGGGATTACAGGCGTGAGCCACCGCGCCCGGCCAGTACCTAATATTAAATAAAGTGCTACTAAATGTAAGTGAGATGCTTGCTATAAGTTTTATTAAACACTATAAAGTTATTTCCTGTCTATTTTCAAGAAGTTTTTATTATTTTAAATGCATGTGCAATTTTTTAAAGTATTGTTTTACATCTCATATTAAATAAAATGCTTGTAAGTATTTAGTATATTACTAAATATCGGTGAGATGCTTGTTGTAAGTTTTAGTAGTTAAACACTATAAAGTTATTTCTTTTCTATTTTCAAGAATTTTTTATTATTATAAATGCATGTACAATTAAAAAATGTCTTATTTGCTCTTATTTTGTAATATGAAAACATTTGTGCTTTCCTGAGATGAATGCTGTGCTCTCATGAAAGATTGTAGAGTCAAAAAGTAGCCTCTGGAGTTAAGACTTTCTGGTTTTAGGGCCTCCTATGGCCACTTACTAATTATGGGTCTTAGGAGAGTTACTGAACCTTCATAATGGGTACCAATCCTAGATCCTGTCAAAAGGAATCCTTCTCTTGGCCATGACTTTGGAAGGTCCTTTACATGACAATCACAAAAAAGTATTATTAGATCTAATTTATTAGATAACACTTGGGTGTCTGTAATTGTTATGATGGCAAATGATTAATAGGCTCCCAAAATGCATATATGTATATGTTTATATAGATACACACACAAATGTGTATATGTATATGTATATATGTATATATACACATGCTAATATGTTTATCATACATTTTATTGATATAAAGTTGTATAACACACAACTTACAAATAATAATAAAATATTCAATATTATTTCAATATTATTTATTGTAATTCTGTATAGCCAATTGCTTTTCACAGAATGTTTTCATTGACTTTTGCTGAACTCCTGTATATGAAGACAGCTTACCAGTGTATTCACTAACAAGTGTAGTCCTGACATGAACGTTGGTTGATATTTTCATTTACATTAATAAGGCAGTGAAATGACACAGACATGTATTTGAACTTCACTTGTTCATCAGTGATGTGAGCAACTTCTTTGCCAAATCAGATAATAGGTTTAGAATAATGGAATAATATTTTCCCAATTTTTTTCTACTAGCAAGGTAGTGGCTACAGACAAGACACGTTTTTAGGCTTAATGCAAGTTATTAACATTTTCTCTATGACTTTTTAAAGTCTAGACAACAAAACTGTAAATTGAACTCTGATTTATAGTATTTGCCCGGTTTTTTTAATGTAAATTCTCCCAATATGGCTAATTTCAAGCTACTAGCGTGGAAGGAGATGCACAGTAGCACACCATTATATGATAGCCCCATCTCAGCGGTTAGATGAGATAATCTCAAGAGCACAGAAAGCAGCAAACTGTATTAAAGTATTTAGGAATTGATGAATTTTGAATATTCCTTTACTTTTAATATAATTTATTTAAATATAAGTTTATAAAGTCCCATTTCTTGTAGTGTCTATGTTAAAAATTGGCTTGCAAAATTTTTGAAAATTTAACAGTTCTTGGGAGCCTGTGTGAACACACTCCAACACATACATCTGCTGGCAGAAGGCAGCACTCACTGCTGCCATATGACAACCCATTGCACTAAACATATACTTTGCTACACCTTTCAGGTTGCAGAAAAGCATTCTCCACAACTCTTGGCCTATGCTTTAAACCAAAAAGGTGACCACATTAATTATGAAATGTATAGATTGGACTGCTCCCTTTGTTGGAGATGGACTGTTCTTGAGCGTAAGGAGGATTTGAGTAGCAGAAGTGCAAAGGAAAAATAGAAGACACATTAATTAACTTGACAAATCTTTCCTTTAGAAAGGACCAGAGCAATAGGTTTTGCACAATGTCATTTCACATAAATAGTGCAGAACTTCTTTCTTTTGGTATTGCAGTTCATGGGTTGGAGTTACACATTCACTAATGTTATACAAAGCCAAAAAAGAAACATTTTGCAACTCTCAAGAGTTGGAATTATCATGAAATTGTATATGTGTCCTCTACACAGAACATGAAAGACACGTAAAATCATTAACAAGGAAATGACCATTGAACATTTAAATTGCAAATAGCAATATTTTGTAAAATACACATTAATATTTAAAATTTAAAAATAAATGCATAAAATTACATTTATTGAAATAATATGATTTCAAATTTGGATATTTATCAATTGTAACTTGCATTTTATCTTTAAGTTATTTGGTATAAATGTTTACTGAACTATGACTTACTTCGAGAAAAAGTACACCGAATTTAAATGTTAGACTCAAATTTTCACACAAAAAAAGCACGTCTGTGGAGCCACCACCTGATGCAGAAACAGAACTTCCCCAGCATTCCAGAAGTGTTCCGCATTATGCTGACCCTTTTGGAGTCACTGTCAATTCCAGAATAATCTTTATCCTGACTTCTTACATCAGAGATTACTATTGCTGCTGCTGCTTCTTTTATATGTATGAAACTCTACAGCCTGTCTTTTTGTGTGTCTTGATTCTTTCCCTCAGCATTGTTTGTGAGATGTATTCGTATTGCAGCACAAAGATTTAATAGTTCATTCTCCTTGCCATATAGCAATCCATTGCATGAATATGTCACTATTTTTTAGTTATTGATGGACATTATTTTCCAAATTTGTATTAAATATTACTACTATGAATATATGTTGTATATCTTTTGACAAATATGTTTTTAAATGTCTATATATATATGTGTGTGTGTGTGTGTGTGTGTAGAATGGTAATAATGCAATTGCACTGCATGTGTGGGTCAACCTGTAGAACTACAACCTAACTATTTTATAAATATTACCAGTTTGAACTTCCATCAGCAGCGTATGAGGTCAAATTTCTCTATACACCATACACCTGCTAACACTTGAAATTAGTTTCGTTTTTCATTATGGTGGTGGATATACAGTGGTATTTCAACCTATTTTACTTTGAATCTCTTTAATAACTATGACTAATGAATTTCAGCATTTTTCATATATATAAATTTGTCACTTGGATTTTTTTTTTAAGAGTCTGTAAATATTTTTCCCTTTTGTGTTCTACTTTTTTTATTGATTTTTAAGAGTTTGTCTTTATTTCATTTATGCTTTTGTTGGATATAACAAATATATATCCAACAACATAAATATTGAAGACATTGATTTTAATATGCAAATATTAAATATTTTTGTCTTTTTTTTTTTTTTTTTGAGACAGGGTCTTGCTGTCTTGCCTAGGCTGGATTGCAGTGATGCGATCATGGCTCACTGTAGCCTCAACCTCCTAGGCTCAAGTGATGGTCTCTCCTCAGCCTCTCAAGTGACTAGGCCACAGGCGTGAGCCACCACTCCTGGCTAACTTTTAAAGTTTTTGTAGAGAAGGTGGAGGTCTCATTATGTTGCCCAGGCTGTTCCTGAACTCCTGGACTCAAGCAATCCTCGCAAAGTGCTAGGATTACAGTTGAGAGCCACAAGTTGTGAGCCCAGACGTTTTGTCATTCTCAATAGTGTATTTTGACCAAATAAATTTTAATGTAATCCAAGGTACCGTTTTTTATACTATTCTTTTTCTTTCATAAGAAATCATTGATACCCAAGATCAGAAGCATAATCGCCTGTGTTTTCTAATAAAATCCTTGTTGCTTTACCTTCTATATTTAGATCTATAGACCATCTGCAGTTGAGTTTTGTTTATGATATGAGGTGTTAAGATTCATTTTTGATGTAACTGCCTAGTTGATTCAACACCATTTTTGGAATTATCTTCCTTACCTAATGTATTGCGCCATTGCTTTATTATTATATGACCTTGCATGGTATCTGTTTCTAGACCCTATTTAAACACTTTTAAAATATATTTTAGGCTTGTCAATAAAACAGTTTGTAAATTGCAGTAGTTAATAATAAGTCTTGATACCTGGTAATGTAAGTTCTCTAGCTTTCTCCCCTGAGATTGTCTTTGTTACTCTTGGCTCTTTACATTCCCATATATACATTGGAAACAGTTTGCCAACTTCTATGTAGACACACAAGTACCCACACAGGCACCAACTTGGATCCTAATTAGGATGGCACAAAAGCTATACATGA